GGAATTGCTCTAGATATATATTTATGAGATGAGGCGGGTAATTCGAAGGGGGGCTTGAGATAAGTGCTATATGGAGCTATAAATTTCACGCAGCATTCACTACCTGATTTTATTGTGGGCAGGTGTACTAAGGAAACTAACATAAAATAACACTTCATCACTTATTCATGTATATATTGTTTAAATTACCCGAAAAATTGTTAATAATACAAGTCTATTGTGTGTAAATTAATTAAATTTTAGCATGAGTGCATCGCATAATTTTGAATTAAACTCGTCTAGTAGTACATTCGAAGAAAGGTTTTGTCAATTTCGATGAATGCCGTGTTTAATACAGCGCGATTTCTGGTTTCTGGACATTCGATTATACGAAGACAAAAGTTGGAATGTTTCGTATATATGAAAAAATCAACAATACGCCGCTCGGTTTGGAAGTTTCTTTTTGAGGATCGATCAAAGACCACTTTCGGCGGAACCGAGCGTTTAAGAGTTCGGAAAAGACATTTAGAAAGTATATTCGGAAGAAGTGGAGCGATGTCGGGAAAATTAATTTCGCCGAGCGTGTCCAGCGAAACTTCCAGATTTAGGAGACGGAGGAGTTTCGACCGGAAAGTTTTTCTGTTTCGTGGGAAATGCATTTGGATATTCGTAGTTTTAGGTAAACTTTCGTATATTGAATTTAGGTGGTTGTTTGCGTACAACCCTTCGCAAGCGTGTTAATTATTTACTTAGGTTAATGGAACTTAGGAAGGTTAATTACGTTAATAACACAGTTTCCCTGTAGATAGTTAATTAATCGATTTAATTATGTACGGGAGATGGAATTATTATCATTTTGATGGCGTAAATTAATTACGACTATAATCTTACTGGGTTTATCAAATAAAATGTTTCCGGAGCTTTGATTAAAGGAAATAATTAAACCGTGTTCTAAACGAAAATAATCCAAAAAAAAAAAACGAAACGTTCACCGTAAATTCAGTCTACTCGAAAATTGTGTATCACAAGAAAAATATACAGTCCGCTAGGCTTTCAAAGCAGTTCCACCACTAAATAGAGTGGTAAACAAATAGAAATGCAATTACTACCCTAGCGGTGGTCTGGCGTAGTGCTAAAATTTAAAAGCTCGCTCAAACTTAAATTAGAACAGTCATAATTGCACTTTATACGGCTTTTAACTCCTCTAACCGCTTTATGTGTCATTAACTTTTTTAATGAAAACACGAAAAACTATATGCACAATGGAAATTCTTAGCCGAATTATGCACGACAGCGTCTGTTTAATTGTTAAAATATTCCACGGAATAATAAAACTCCCATATACAACTCATTTTCTTTAAACTGCATAGTTTTATTTGTAACACAGTACAGGATTTTTAGTTCGTGGGGAAAGGTTTTTTGGGGGAAAGTGGGGCAACAATAAATGTATTTTTGCTTCGTCAACGACGCTTTGTATTTGACAACGGATTCGGACATTCATAAATGATTTTCAATTTGTAGATACAACGGAATCGGTTACAGCGCCGAAATCCGAATTCGCGGATGTTATCGCGAACAAATAAAATAATCCGCGAAGGGGGCGCGCGGGGTTTTACCCGGTTTGACGAGGGTGCTGCGTACACAACGCGATGCTGAAAAACAAAGGGCGGAAAAACCGATGAAAAAAGCGGTTCTCGTGCCGGGTCGTCGTGTTTGCGAAGTGAATTATTTCGCAATTAATTAGCACGCATATCGGTAGATAGCGCTGTTATGTTTGCCTTCTCTTGCTATGATGATTAACGGGCCAAAGGACTGGAAGTTTTTATATGCGGGTGCATATTTTACTTAATTAAATAAATACCTACAGCCGGGCCGGTCCTTAATGTGCAATAAACTTCGAATTTATAATGCCCCTAAATTTTTTGTATACCAGCAATTTGTTTATGCGAATAATAAAATTTTTATCAACAAGTAATTTCAATGTAACGAACTGTTAAATTCTCTTTAAAACCCATAAAAGAGTTAACAACGTTATTCTCTTATCTGAGATTACATTTCCTTAAAATAAATACGTAATTTATACGTTATACAATGTTAGATAAACCCCTTTTCCTAGCGCCGCAAAGCTATATAAGCAAAACCCATATATCGAACTCGGTCGACCCCCAAAGCTCATAAAACTGTTCGGTTTTGCCCTTCTTGTTTTTCGAACATAATCAGCGCTTTCTATTGCTTCTTATTTTGGCCCCGATTCCCCGCTATCTATTTATTACTGTTCGCTAGTTTTATTCGAGGACGTAAAACCGTTTATGAAGCAGGAATTCGATATAAGCGATGTAAAATTAGTTGGTCTACATTTCGCATTACAACATAACGATTTTATGATTATTCGATAAATTTTGCAACTTAATTCAAACATCATAAACCAACGGTTGAATAGACATTATTATAATTTACGTCGGTTGAATAGACATATCCAAATAATTGTCTTTGACATTACAATGTAGAGGTGAACAAAACTACTAAATTAACCGTTAATTTTGTAACAAATTAAATGGTTTAATTCTAAACACTCGAAATCGAGTTGGAGCCTCTTCTGATGGTGCATTAAAACTTTCGTGCAGGAAATGGGATATTTACCGGCTGAATTTGATTTATGCGTTCTTTTCAAGACCTCCCATTCAGTCCGCCAAATCTAAAATCGGATCGTAATTTAGAGGTTTTTAAATTCCGTTATTCCATTCAGGATATCGCGCTCCGACAGCTATGGATAATGATTCTTTTGTACTACAAAAGAACGAGGAAAACTTTTGGCGTAAGGCGAATTATTTTATTTATCTTTTCCATTCGAACCGTCGACTCAAAAATGACGCTTACTTACCGTCGAATTGGATCGCTAAATGCAACGAGAAATCCATTTTAGATTACTATAGCGCGAAAGTTTTACGGGATAATAATGTTTCGTTCGAATCACAAAGAAAACAACGAATTAACCGAACCGAAACGAATAAATATATAGGTATTGAATAAATAAATCGGAAAAGCGGTAATTAATTCGACGATTTCCTGCAATCGATGGTAATTAGAAATGAGTAATTGCCGAGTATCCGCGCGGGTGGAAGGGGTTCAAAGTCGAGCAACAAAGGCAATTAAAATTAATTGAAATTTGTGTTCGTTTCGCCTCCGAGTTTTCTCCCGGCGATAACTTCGACTGCTCGAAGGGAAAATCGCCGTTTCCCCAATCAACGATTCGGTTTTTATAATTCCATCGAATAAATGAGACTTTGGATTTTTTGCGTTAGTAAAAGTCGATTTAAAGTAACACTATTGCGTTATGCAATTAAGAGTGTATACATCAGAGGTTCCATCTTGATGTTAAATAATTTTTTGGTTACTAAGTAGGTAAATATTAGCATAGCAAATTAGTTTCGTGCTGTTTCCGTACATATTCCTTATTAAAAGGATTATGTTTTGCGAAATAGACGCCTTTGCGCTTTCACCTGCTTTATATAACTCCACAGTCATTGGCTTAGCGTATAAATTAATAACCTCGTTCGACTAAACCACTTTTGATGCGAAATTTAGACGAGCCTATCGAGCTGAAATTCTAATCGAACCTTCTTTATTCAACTGGTTAAATTTCTTTAAGCTGATTAGACCGAATCGATAACTCTTTTGTATAGACGTACCAAATTAGGAATAATTAGTTTACACATAAACTTTATTTCATCAATGAAAATGAGTTAAAACAGGAGTCAAAGAATGAGCCGGTATATAGCTAAAAAATAATTAGATTAACTAAAATTTAACTGTTTAAGTGCCAAGTTGAATCGTTCAAATTGAATTTCATCAAACTTCGGGATGATGCGCCTTACTCAGCCCACGTTTCGGAACTTATTTCGCCCAAAAGTTCTCCATGTACCCTTAAAATCGTCGAGGTGATTAAGTCGTCGCGAGTTAAGCCAGAGAATGTACCGGTAGATAAATTGTCGATGCCATTATATTGAAATTTTCGGTAGCAAGTTCGTTCGTTAAACTAAAATTACGCGGCGAGATAAAGTTTGGACTTCCCTACTCTATGCCAAACTGAATTACTTTACCTACTGTAATCCTAACTTGCTCTGTGCTATTTGAACTGCAAGACAATACCCTATATTATTGAGCTTTGTTATATAATTTTATAATCGTATTATTATAATGCATCAAAAGTTAGCAATTTTATACCAGGTTTCTGTCGGTTAAAAATATTAAAACCTGCGCTGCTATATGCAATCGTATCGTTCTTAAATTACCTAGCATTATGTTATGTTCGTAGGTAGAAATTTTTGATGCGAAACTCGTTATAATATGTAAAATTTTCCAACTAAATTTTCCTACCGCAGTCGAACACGTTCGTTTTGAAACTGCATTCAGAAGTTTCCCGTTAATATTGGCATTCAAAATTCGCGTTTCCACGAGAAAATCTCTTTTGCATTATTAATTTGAATTAAAACGGTGCATCTTATACGACGAAAATTGCTGGTGTATGTATTCCCGAAATTGCGAGGCACTGAAGTAACTGAATAGGTAATTAGTTTGTTGATTGCCCAGGTTAATTTTCATATTTCAGCGTTTCACTCCAGATTGTTCGATTAATTAGCTGTCGTTTGTCAATTAATGTCATTTGTCACAATAAAAAAAATCGGTGTTGTCATGCGAAAATGAAACGTGGAAAATAAGATGGGGAAAATGACGCAAACAAACCCATTCGTTTCTATTGTGGCGACGAATTTCTTGTACTGATAATGTAGAATTATGTGGTGGTCATAAATTATACCACGGCATCCGAAGGGAATCCTTTTTTGACCAACTTCTTCCGGCGCGTTAAATTTACAAGAGAATATTTATTAGAAAAACGGGATTTTCGTCACTCCTATATGGAATTATGATCGCATAAAACTTTTTTATTAGCTCCGAATTGACTCGCGATATTTTTTTATCAATTACAATAAATTTGTAGCTAAGCTTAAATCTTCACTTACCGCCTTTCTTGAATGATTACAATGCATATTGAACCAGCTTGAATTCAGTTTCGGTAATGAGCAGAGCCTCTAGCGCTCATAATTGCGGAGACTCGATAAATTACAGCTCTGCAGTTCCGTACATCACCTAAAACAACCAGTCGAAATATTATAATTCAGTAGACTTTAGCGAATTTCCCGCCGAAAATCGTCGACGCAGTTCCAATTACGGAATTCTTTTATTTATAGAGCAAAGGATTCGATAGAAGAATCCCCGATAAGGGGGATAGGCCGGTCTCTAATTCCGAAACCGTAACGTATCTACCGAAGAGGAATTCCGCCAGGACAATGAAGACCTTTTCCGCTCTCCAACCGTGAGGCATTACAATCTCGAGATCAGAATTTACTCGGGAGTTTCCTTTCGGGGAAACCGAGATTTGTACCGCTCTTGTTCCTGCTCGGAACTGGCGATTGACCAACATCAAACTACTTATAATTGATGCAAACATCCATTCGACTACAAACTTGAGCTGTTATAAATAAAAACGTCGCTGATTTTGGAGCGGTTGAAACTGTATAGTAGAGTTTCGAGTTTTGAATTATTGTTGCGTTTAACTAAGTTTGAAAGTGGTGAACTATTCGGTTCGAAAAATAGAGGAATTTTTGTTTGTGTTGAAGCAGGAAGTACGCATAATTGTAGCCGTTGTTGAGATGAAACTTTACCGCGTTTCCGTAATTATGGTTGCTATAACGAGACTATTTATCATTAACGAGCGCGCATGAATAGTTGAATTGAAGAAAAACAATGTGGTTGGAGCGAACGTGGGGGCTTGTTTAATTGACGCGGGCTGTGCATTTTTTACCCTATTTACTATTGATTTATGCACATTGTAGCGACGTGAATAATTCGAGTATATACTTAAAAATTTCATTATCGTTTAGAAGCGCTGTTAATTCCGAAATGCGGTACAAGCAGAAGAAGGAATTCCTAACAAACAGCGAGCAATAAAGCAGAAAAAGCCGTCATTCTTTCCCACGTCAAATATAAGGGATGAGAAAACGTCCTGAGAGACTGATCTCGACGCGTCTTCTCTTTTTTTTTCTGTATAAAGTATTACGAGGAGTTAGAAGGAGGTTTACAAACAAGAGGTCGCCCTAAGTGAATGCTTTCAGAAGCGTAGACGTTCCCGAGTTTTTCGCTAAAAAGTTTTTATAATCGTATAATTAAACGGACAACCTCTGACTGACGAGCTCCTGCGAAAGTCGCTTTGTCTTAAGGAATTTCTAAATAAATACCTTAGAGATTAGACGATTGCGAGTCGGCTCTAAAGCATCTTAAAGTCTAATGAAGTCGCTTAATTTAGGCATATTGAAGATACAATTAGGAACCTTTCCAAGCTCTAACGAGTACTAGTTATAAAAACATTATTTGAATGTCTCAGATTTAGGTATAACATCAACTTTTATCATCCTATTAAAGACTGTAGCACATCGTTGAAAGTTTAGCGGGATATCGATTACCTTTGCTCGATAATCGAGGTGTATACGAATGATGTATTCGATGTTAAAAGGCATCTACGCGATTCTGCTTTCAGTTCAAAGTGCATAATCTATCACAAGCATCGAATTTTTATTGTATCCAAACTAGCGAGTTGAATTTAATAGCTGCTGTTATTCCACTTATTACAATTCGAAAATTCTTAATTATTGGTATTGTTTGGCGGTGGAAATCGTATCGATGGAGAACTTTTCAGACGACGAACCCTTTCGGCGCCACCCTGCATATATACACATCCAAAATCGATGGGGAAGTTCGCCTTATAGAACGGGGGTTGAAATCCATTTTAAAGGTACCGCGTTTTTTCCCCGTAAAGTAGATTGTAAAATTATGATTTTATTGACTTCTGTTATTGATGCTTGTATTCGCAGGTTCGTAAAATTTTTATCGCCCATAAATTCAGATCGTCGGGCGAGTATAAAAAAAGTCATAAGTCCGTAATTACTTAGGGATTTTTCACTACTCATAAAAGGGTATATTTTTCGAAAATTCGTTTTAATTAACGCTTGAACTCGCGCCGTCTTCATCGGACGGGAAAACGACGAGTTTTTTCCGCGTTTGTTCGATTGTGGAGTCCAGTAATGAAAACGAACTTAGCTTTGGGCTAATTAAAAGGGCGTTTCGCTCCGGAACTGGAAAATACAATCTCGGACGATATTATAAAAATAAATAGAGAGCATTCGCGAGGACGGTAATAATTCAAAAAAGAAAAGCGCGACGCGGAAAAGCGCGACACGGCATGAAATTGGTATAAAGACCCTGTCTTGATGTCTCGCGAGATCCGCAAAAAATAGCGCCCTATTCGAAATTAACTCGTGTTTTATTTTCGTCTTCCGGTGTTTTGATAACAACTATTTTTCTTTCCTATCCACGCGTTACAACAATACTCTCTCCTGCTCATTAAAAATAAAAAAACAACACTTGTATATAGATAATTCAGAATACTAATTAAATTAATGATCAGTTCATTAATGAGCCAGTTTTACGGCAATCTAACACCTCAAACTCGGGACGGCTTCATCAGAATAATTTAATAAGAATTTACTGTCGTTCTTAATGACTAACTCGGAATTTCGAATGATAATGAGGCCAGGATTGGGAGCTTGTGTGCGCTAAGGGGCCTCCACATCCTTCAGATTTAATGTATGAAAGGGTGACAGACATCGGATTTCGGCTTCAGCTTCATTAAGTACAGTTCATTAGAAATTTCTCTTTCGGTTCTATATACTTTTGGTCTGAGTTACGCCAGAATATAGTCGCTGAGGGATTTTTATTATTATTATTATTACGTTCATTTCCTTTGGAATTCTTTTAAAGCTGGGGTCTCATTAGACAGTGGGTTTGTGAGAGGAAATAATGAAATCGAATGATATGCGAGAGAAATTTCGAAATAATCTATTGTGTACAAAGTATGAGCCGCTTCATGGGTATTTTTAATTTTGCTCGTTTAGATGAAGTAAATTTTCAATTTGCAGTTAATTTGAAAGGACAAAAACGACGCTTGAACCGGGATGTAGAAGTATCTAATTAGATAAAATAACCTATAAAATTCAAAATTGCTTTCGTCTCAACCCTTATGATCGTAAATTTTTTACAACTCTCTGCGATATGGATTGTTGCTTAGGGGAAATCGAATTATCCAGACAATGAAGTAAAACTAAAATATCGTGAAGATTTTTCACATCGGTTATCCCGACGTGCGTGATGCATTGTTGTCGAGGGAAGTGTTGCCAACTTAACAATGTGATTTACTGGTGCTTTTCTGCTTTGCCGAACTAACAGCCTTCTCGAAACTCGAATTTTGCTTTATTGGAGATCCAAATATCGATTAGTCGGTTTCATTTTTCACCTCGAGTCTTCCGTCATTATATTCCTATAGCGTTTAAGGGTTGTTTTTCTATTTTATCTTCCATCTACCAACGTCGCATTGTTCTCATGTTGCGACCGCCGTAAAGGAAGAATAATTACGCCCGCTTTTAAAAGCGTCAGCCGTTTTAACGAAATTACGAACAAGAAGCAAAAAACTACCGTCTATTTATCTCGAAAAAATTCCTTTCTGAAATTTCAAGGAGTGTATTCCGCACTCTCCGGCGTCCTTAATAAGTGTTCTAGATTGCTGTTGTATACGTAGTATCGACCCGAGTACTTAAGCACGTTTTCGTTTAACTAGGAGACAAGTTGCAGAATACATTGCGGAAATTTTAACATAAACGTCGAAAAGATATGCTCGTTGCATTATGGAAAATACGGAACATCATCAGTGTCGCCGGGACCAGAATTTTTTCTCTATTTATGCACCTTATTTCTCACAACGGCAACACCGCGGAATTTTAACGCCTCAACTATCCCTGCGAGTAGGCAACACTTATCACACTTACTAATTTGTGAAAATAGGCGTTTTATACGGAAAATTTTCAAACGACTCTTCGGTCAACTACTCATACACCTTTTTATTAATAATTCGACTCGGTTGAAAGGCCGAAGACGAACTCCCTGGCGTTCATCTCGGCGCTTTTGAAAAGCTCTTCGTGCATTTCGAGAGCCAGCCGAACGAAAATAATGTTATATACACAGCTAGATTTCAAAAGAACCTCCGCCTTATTTCCGATTCGGCCGGGGAATACCTGCACCGATTCTATTACAAACTTGCCGAGCCGATGCCGTTTTCTTTCTAGGTATATCAATCGAAATGCACTTAACCCTTTGATATTTTCTAGGGCGCGCTGTTTTTCAACTAAAAGTTGAATTTACTGGAATGTTTGTATCGGCGAAACTGCCCTCGCATCTCTAGCTATTTCTGTCGCACTGTAGTTGTTATTTTAAACGATTGCATCTTCTGTTTTATCAGTTTCATCTGTTTTATCTTCTGTTTTTAAAGTGAATAATTACATTTCGAGAATTTTCCGTGCGCAAAACGCAACAGGTCCGATTTCAACGTGTCGAACAAAATACATTATTTCTAAATTACTTTATAACATACGAGGGTGTTGCAGAAATTAAACTTTGAAGCGAGTAGATGTATAATGTGTTCGATACAGCAGCTTTATTGTTCGATTCCTTCTGGTTTATCAGCTGTATTGTTATTGTTGCATTCTTGGAATCCTCGTAAACCGGCAATTCGAGCATCGCATGAACGTTTAGAGAACCATCGCTGATGGCGACAAGTAAATAAAAGTTGTTTCTTGAAAGATTTAAAAGCTAAACGCGGTCGCCGTTTTTATCGTCGAACGGGAAACGTTCGAAACGTGAGAGTGAGTCGCAAACTGCGAATACATATTCATCGAGGAAAATGGAGAAATGGCCGCCATATATTCCGGACCGGCTCGGAATTTGTGGTAATATTGTTGCGAAGGAACGAATAAAATGGTGCGGGTGAAAAATGCAGTGGAAAGTGCAAACTTCGAGCGAGGAATTCGTGAGAAATTGCCTCTTCGAGCTCCGCTCCGGCGGATGTCCCTCCGCTCCGGGCATCATCTATTTAATTTCTTTTTGTTAGACTTGCCATCGATTTAACGGGAACTTCGTAAATAATACCGAAGATACTTTGGTATTTATTGTTCTTTTTATTTATATAAAATACGATTCATTCA